ACCAAACCTTTCTGGCCTCCTGTCTCCATCAGCACCCTGATGGAGAAAAGAAGGCTCTGGGAAGACCTTAGAGCAGTTCCAGTGCCTAAAGAGTCTACAAGAAACCTGGAGAGGGGCTTTGGACAAGGGCCTGTAGGGACAGGCCAAGGGGGAATGGCTTTAACCTGCCAGAGGGGAGACTGAGATGAGCTCTCAGGCAGAAGTTCTTCCCTGTGAAGGTGCTGAGGCGCTGGCACAGGGTGCCCAGAGAAGCTGTGGCTGCCCCATCCCTGGCAGTGTTCAAGGCCAGGTTGGACACAGGGGCTTGGAGCAAGCTGCTCTAGTGGAAGGTGTCCCTGCCAGAGGCAGGGGTTGGAACTGGGTGAACTTTAAGGACCCTTCCAGCACAAACCAGGCTGGGATTCTATGATCCCGAGAACAAGCCTGGAGCTTTTCTCCCCGTGCACATCACTTGATCACAGAAAAACATTCATTGCCATATTATGACTGACTACGTTGAAACCAGAGTTTCAGCAATGTTTGAGCTATAACCTACCCACTATAACCTCCAGCTGCCTCCTTGATTTTTACTAGTGCCTCACTTAAATCTGTGGGATGGGTGTAAAAAAGAGCTACCCATTTTCACAGCATCGGCTGCCCAGTGTACACTGACACCGCTCTACTGATTCTAGCAGGGCTCCACTTGTTTGCATCAGCTGAGGAGCTGACCTCGGGTAGCAGGCAACAGCCTGCATTTACCAGGTGAGTGCATCTCGTTTTGGCAAGCAACCGCCACACACCAGTTAACAGCCTTTTCTATGCATAGCCTGGTGCTGACTGCAATCATCAGAGGAGATAATGTCATACATTAGGGCCTGAACCTCACTGTGACACCTTTATGCAGTTAAAAAGCCTGTTCTATATATACAACCAGATAAAAAATGCATATTGTAAAGCAATGAGGGGGGCTAATCTCATTACAACCTCTTCAAAATGCAGTGTGAGAGCAATAAAAAGGAGAGACAATAATTCTGTGGATGCTGATTTCTATGCAGTGAAAGGGCACTATCAGAGAAGCACATTATGGGCAGGACATCAGCTGAACTGCTCTCACATCCTCCCTGTTTGGCTCTGCAATTTCCTTCTCTATGACACTGATTCCAGAGGACACCGTGGGACAGATACAGGGTCTGTATCTGGTACAGGGTGGCAAAATGTTTGTGATGGAGTAGCTGTGTACACTAACACATTCACTTGATGTTACGGAGTGCAGCAGAGCAGATAAAACCATTAGATACTTAAAAATTAGTTAGTGCTAGGATGCAATGGTTTGGGCATTTGTAATGCTGCTTTAAATTGGATCAATATTTTCCAGTTCAGTTTACTGGAGGCTTTTAACCCTGCTATTGCACTGGAGCTCCACGCTCTGAGCAGCAGGTATGGAGCAGACGCAGGAAGGATTTCTGCTGGGATATGACCAGTTGTGCTTCAGGAAGTGCGTCAGCTCCTGCAGACTCGCTAGGCACCATCTCTTTTGTTCAAGAGAGCTTAACTGTCATCCAGGACATCTGGGACAACCTCTCAGGGGCTTGTGTTGACAGAACATTAACTGACACACAAAAGCTCTGGGATCTCATGACATGATCCATCACTGAGTAAAGACAAGTTACCTGTATCACATAGGATGAATTCATCGAGGAGCCAAATCATTAGCATAGAAAGGTCATCTACTTGTCTGTCATTATCACGTGAGGCAGATAGTCTATAATGTGTGCAGGAGCGACCCATGGAGCAGCAATCAGCCCCTCACTACACTATTTCATTGTCCTTTTTAATGCTGGTGAAGAGCTTTCTCATTGAAATCTGCAGCTCTAAACACCTGAAAGGAAATCTTGGCTTCTTCTGTCTTCTGTATAGGAGCATGAATACCCTGGGATAAAACATGTTCCTCGCATGAGTATTACTGATCTCAACTAGACACAGTCAAACCCAAGGGTTTGAAACGTACTCTACATTGCTTGTGGTGGAGTAAGATTTCCATTTTAAATAGAAGCCTGCAACTGAAACAAAAACTCACTGTATTTTCCTCCCTGGTTACACCAAGAGCCATGACATGTAGTTCAACCATGTAGACGTCTACCAACAAATGCCAGTACTCTGATTCCTCTGGCTGTATCTCCCAGAAGGTCAGGTAAACCTTGCCAAGCAAGCACAAGCTGGACTATTCTTTTCACCTCATCAACCCACTGCTGAGTCTGCAAATAGCATCAAGGAAATACCCCAGAAGGATCATGGTTTTGAACTGGACAAAAAATCAATCATTTTGCTCCATTAATGGTGAGTGCATGGTTTATGTCATTCCATTGTGAGCTTGGATATAATCCCATTGGGTGCTTGAAAAATACAAAACCAGCCCAGCTATCACTGGCATTTTATTGTGACTTGGGTTTTTCAGGTTTTCTACTCTTTTCCATAGTGCCTGAATTCCAGCGCTGCTCGAAACACGAGCTGCTGTCACCTCCTTCACCATGTGCTTCTCTCTAGGGTGGTCCCTGGTTTGTGGTCCAGAACACCTCTGTCCATTGAGTCACTCTGTATATTGAGTCTGTAGCTGCCTCTTTACAGCTGAGAGCAGAAAATCAGTGGTAAACTGTATGTGGACAAGTAAGTCCTGAGTATGTCCTTGAAACGCTGTCTTGGGTAGTGCTGCTACTCCCTGCACACCACTTCACTGCGCATGGGCTGCTTGGGCTTTCATGCATCACTCACGCGAACGATGGAGCGATCACACGATAATAAAGTTGCATTCTTCAGCTGGTCTGAGGGTCAGGTTGAAAACTTGACCCTAAACATCATTGATGCATGTCTATAGTGGCAGTATTTCACAGACCTTGGAGGCTTTATAGTGCTTCCTCTCAGAGGTAAACCATCCTGCCTGCCTTTGTGATAACCTTGCCAGCAAACAGATCTATAGCACCTCATATTATTTCATTTCAGAGGTTCCCATTCACAAAAGAGGCACTGAAAATCCATAACAATTGAAATATAGCAGGATTTGAACCAAGGTCACACTAGCTTGAGAGATGACCTGCCGTGTTCAACATTAACCTCACCCAATGCATGTGCTGCTTGGTTTACAAGTGATGCTCTGAGCCCCTGATCTTCAGAGTAACACAAAGACAAATGCTTGCAGGAAAGGGTGGAAGGGGGGATATGAAGGGCTGAAGGAAGCTGTATGATCATTTCATGTATCCTTATGCATAAAACAGGACAGCAAACATCACTCTGAAACTCCTCTGGTGAGACCATAGGTATTTCTCCGAACTCAGTTTACTTCTGAGAAGAGTCAGGACAAAATCCAGGAGAAACCCCATTCTATTGACCTCAATAAGGCCAAATTTCCAAGGTGCTTTGGGTTAGAACCAAGAAAAATCTATGTTATTCTGTGTTACAAGCGTGACTGCATCCCTGCCGCCTGCCCAGTTGGTTGTGTGAGCTCCATTAATATGCTATTGGTGTTGTATGCACAGAAAAGGTGACCTATTGCTTTACCTGTTAATAGATCTTTTACCCAGGAATGTTTCTATAACCCAGCTAAAATGGTACCCAGGTTTCTCTGTCCAGACTTGCACCAGTTGACCTCGGAGTGTTACTTTTCAAAGGGGTTTGCAAATGTATTGCAGAACAGCTCCATGTTGGACTTGCACCAGTTCTGTCCTAACTGACATCGACTCAAATACATACTCTGATGCTGGGGGAGGCTGCAGACCAGGCTGGCTCTGTGCAGGGAGACTCGTTCCAGTTTTGCTGTGGTCAAGTTGCTGGTTAAAAGACAGAGGGGTTTGTAAGATGCACAAAGGCAGCACAGAGGGATGCGGGAGGGACTGTGAGGCATCGGCTGGAGATACCCGTGTTTAAGGGGAATGAGGGCGATTGCGTTCCATGGTGTATTAGATGGCTTCAAAGGACAAAGCTAACACTGCTTGCAAGTGTTTTAGAATGCAAGGTCATCAAAATGGAAATGTTCTGCAGGAATGTGTCCACTTTGACAAGGGGAAGTCTGAAATTAAAACCTTGGTGGCAGCAAACCCTTCCAGCCTGACATCACTGCACCAGAGCACTCGGAGTCCAAATTATCTGTTGGCTTCACAACCAGAGCATGTTATTTTTACCATTGAAGGCAATGTGCAGCCCTTCAGACCCCTTATAACAGCAGCTCTGACAGACATCATCCCCTTTCTAATGCACTCTGGCAGCAAAATTTAGAAATATTCTACCCAGAGCCTAAGTCTGCGTTAATATTTTGAATTTCAAATCTTTGGATGCAATTCTTAATTCCAGCAGTGTCTGGTCAATCCAGTGCCCCGAAAACCACACTGACCATCCAGATGGGTGCTGCTGGTGCTGGGCTTTAACTTGAAACCACGGTCAATGCAAGTGCTTGCAGGGTACCAGCGTGTGAGCAGGGGCTGATGCTGATGGCCCTGTGACACCACTAGCATGGTACCTGCATCACCTCGAGTACCACGTCTTGAGCAGGGCTCACAAATACTAGCAAATGCACCAGTGTGTTGGCTTGCATCTTTCCCATTCCTTCTATAGTAACAAAAGGTTGGAGGGGAAAGAAGCCCAAGTAATGGATTTTTTTTCTGCTTCATTTTTCTCCCACCTTCCCTGCCCCCTGTAATCTGATTTTTTACACCTCATTTATGTGTTTTTATTCAGCTCGTCTTTGTGTTTTCTTCTCTTTTTTTTCTCACACCTTTGGATCAGCTCTCTCCCCATGTCTAGCACCTGTGATTATATCCTTCAGCTTCACAATGCAGACTTGCAGAGCAGCGTTTAATAACAGGGAGGATTTGACTGACTGGAGCTTTGATAATGGTGGTGGGAAAGGCACAATCAACACTGCCTTTTCAACAGTATACTTTGCACAGAAAGCATTCGACAGTGTCACAATCTGATAAAAAAAATTCCCAGATTCCACCCATAATTATACCTTCTCTCCTTTACCTATCCACCTTCTTTTCAAAACGAAGCTATTGTGGGTGACACCAGTCTCCAGGGAGGAGGGGGCGGCGGGACACAAACCTGCAGAGACACACAGAGTAAGTTCAGTTCTCCATGAGGCTGCCTTGGCCTCTCTGCTTGCTCACACTCCCGAGTGTCTTTGCTCTTTGTGCTCAGCCATGGGCAGGCTCCTCTGTCTGTGACCAGGGGAGGGTTGAGGGTGGAAAAACATCACCTGACCGGTGGCACTGGTGTAAGCCATTGGGAAAGGAAAGCCTGGAGGGCTTCCACGAAGCCAGAAACTCAGGAGAACTTAAGAGGTTGAATGGTGGTCAATCAGCAGCTCCACTCAGTCCCGGCTGCGAGGAGAAGGGACTGTGGGTGACCAGCTCTTGCTACAAAGAAGGTGTGTGTGTGAACCCTGCTGCCTTCAGGACTCTGAAAATGCACCCCAACCCTTTCCAAAATGCAGATGGCCATGAGAGCTGAAAGCCATGGCACTAAAGCAGTGCATGGTGCTTCCCAGCTCTGGCTGGCCTTTAGGTTAGTCCTATACCTCCACATAGGTTTAAACTCTCCAAAACAGTTTATAAACATGGGATGGACTGCCCAAAGCTCTCCAGAGGTGTCTGTGCCCACCCCTGGCAGCAAGACATCAAAGCACATTCAATGCCCTCAACATCACCAAGACCTCAAGGCATCCACCTGCTTTTGGAAACACATGCAGGTAAAAAGGAGGGGACAGGGGGGTGACGCCAACCCTCACTCCTCCAGTACAGTGCAACAACAGAAGCTGAGACCCACACAACTTGGTCTTCTGATTTCAGTTTGGGGTGCTGGTGTGGACAGCGAGAGATCAAGGTGCTCCCAGCCCCGCTGCAGGCAGTGGCAGGCTCTCAAGCCAACTGCTTTGCTTTGTTGCTGCTCAGTCTCCACGCTTTGACTCACTGGATTTCCAGTAAGCCGGGATGTTGCATCCATCGACGCTGGCAAAGGACCAGCATCGTGAAATGGTTTTTGAGAGGCGTTCTTGGGAGCAGATTCAAGTAACAGCTGGCCTGGCCTGTGAGGACAGAGCATACCTGATCTGAAATGGCTGGGGGAGCAAGGAGCTCAGCAAACACCCAGGCAGGTTTCAGTGATGGGATTACTGGCATCAACTTCTGGTTAAATACAGTAATAGGGAGGGGGGGGGGGGGAAGCTGGTGGTGTGACTGTCTCAGGGCTGCCTTTAGGGGTGCTTGCCTCTGGGGTGCGATCGATAGGGTCTAACAAACCTGGACAGATTGATGGTTGTGGCTATTGATAAGGGAGCTGCAGCAGGCACAGGGATGGGGCTATTTCCCAAGTCCCAGGCAGAGCTGGTGTGGCAAAGCATCAGCAGAGCTGGTGCAGGAGAAACACCAAATCCAGCACACACGCTCCAGGACAGAGCACCAGCTCCACTGCACTCAGGGTCAGGGTGACAGCAAATACGTGGTCTTACAAGGGGATGGTCTAAAACAGGGATTTTATAAAAGCAGATGCAGCTCCAACGGCCAACATGCTCCTGTAACTGGTGAATCCGATGCCACCAGCACAGCACAACCCAACCAAAGCAGGGGTTTGGCACCACATCATTCCCACATGATGCAGGCTCATGCACGTTAGAGCACCCTGCTCCTAGTTTCTTTGGTTTAGGGATGATATTACAGCCCTATGGCAAATAACAAGGTCTGTGGCTGTGCTATAGGACCTACAGAGTTAAAACAATACACTTCTTTTTTGTTCTGCTGCTGCATTCCTTTAGCCTGAATTGGGCATTTTTCTTGCTATTCATTTTAAAATAATAATATGTCAAAGAGACGAGACCCCCAACTATCACTGAAAACAGAATCCATCTGGTGCAAATCTCTCCTTCAGATCTTAGGTTTTAAAAGTAACTCTGTGTTTTAAAATCACATTCTAGCATTTGTTATATTATGGCTCAGGCCATGCAAACTCTTTTGGGTAAAGGACAGTCCTCCTCCCTGCCCCCCAGTAAATAACAATTCCAAGTTGGGCAAGGCTGAAATCATAAAACTTATTTATGCCAACATCAACACCAGCATCGCTCTGGAGCCCATTCTTCAGCTCAAATGTTTTCCAGGCACGTTTTTAGTTGTTCTTCTTTTATATTTACTTCAATTTAACTCAAAAGCAAAGCTGTTCCCCTCCATTCCCCAAACCAAAACACTTAATTTGCCATTGAATGAGGCATTTTTGGTAGGTCTGGAATTATTATTTTTTTTCATTCATCCAAAAAAAAAAGTTCATCCAAGCCGTTATGTTTTGTTTAGTCAGTAAATCCAGAAGGAATCTGTTCCACAGAGTCTTCATAGGAGCTCTTATTCGAAGGAACAGACTGAAAAAGGAAATACCTGCTCTTAAATTATGACTAGTTTAGTATCAGAGTAACAAAACGAGTATTAAATCATCTTGTTTTCCTCTCTGTATGGGGATGAGCCCACCTTCCAGTGTGGTTGCTTTAGTGAGAACCCTAAATTAGCATCACAGCCATGAAAAAGGATGGTGGTGCCAAGAAGCCAGCCAAGCCACTCGTTGTGCAAAGACAAGACTACGAAACAACTCCATGGTAATCACCAATCTTTGATATTCCATTGTGCTATTGGTTTTGGAGGAATCATCTTTTTACACTTTATTACACAGCGCTCTGTCTTTCTCCATTAAAATCAATGGCAGACATAGGAGGCAGCCTGTTTTGTTATGGTCTTCCAGGCAGCTCAGACACTTCTGGGAATCAGGAACAGAAGAATAATGCGTTTCAATAAGCAGCTTATCGACCAAGCAGGAGTTAAGTGAACCTGTGGTGTACTTCTCTAGTTTCTCTCCTCTCACATGATTACTGCTCTTTACTCCTGCTTTGCTTTTGTTCCTGTGACAATCGATACCTTGCAATGGCTTGCCTGAGCCACTGCCCAGCATGAGGGGTGCGGAGGGGGAATGGGACAGCAGGTTTGCTCCCGTCGCTCCCACCAGCTCCCTCCCCTACAGTCTCAGAGCCCTGGCTGCTGCCCAGGTAACCAGCCCACCCGCACCTGCTGGGTGACCACATCTGGGCTCACAGCCCTGCTCTTCAGAGGCACAAGGAAGGAGGAGAGCCTGCATGAGCTTCAGGTCAGGGATTCCCCTTGAGACACACAGCAGCCATTACCCATGTTTCCTCCTAACCAAAGAAATCCATGGTGAAAAAAAGAAGTGTAAAAGCAAAGCCAGGCACTTTTTTCCCCAGGGTTAGAATGGAGAAGCCCAGCAAGCAGCAGCTTGGGGGGTCACAGTAAAGACAGAACTGGAACACGGCAGACCTTGTATTTTCCATTTGAGGATGAACTGCCAGAGGGGAGATTGAGCTGAGCTCTTAGGCAGAAGCTCTTCCCTGTGAGGGTGCTGAGGCGCTGGCACAGGGTGCCCAGAGAAGCTGTGGCTGCCCCATCCCTGGCAGTGTTCAAGGCCAGGTTGGACACAGGGGCTTGGAGCAAGCTGCTCTAGTGGAAGGTGTCCCTGGCCGTGGCAGGGGTTGGAAATGAGTGAGCTTTAAGGTCCCTTCCAACCCAAAGTATTTTATGAGTCCATGATCTTTCAGGTCCTGGTTGGTCAGGATACCCAGTACCTGTTACAAACAGTGCTGGATGGACTCTCTCAGGTGATGGACCCAAGAGCAGATCTTTGCTGCAGCTTGCAGAGCCCTGACCTTGATGCCCTGAAGCAGAGGAAGGAAATCTTAACACCGTTTATGCTCCAGTTTATGGGAGAGACCTGGTGTTGGTGCTGAGGCTGAAAGGGTGCAGGACCCAGGAGCTGTGTTTGGTACCTGAGATGGACAAAGCACAGCCCCCCTCAGAGGTTTCTCCCTTTAAGGCGATTATCTGATGTTTTACAACAGTTATGAACAATGTATGGCATTCTCAAAGACAGGCAGCATCCACACATATACTGTACCCTATGGCTCCTCCATGCTGTGCAGAACAGCATTAAAAGCATTACTTAAACCCAAGCCAGGGACCGTTTTCATTGACCAAGAGGTGAAACCACGTCGTGGGTTTCTCCTGTGCTCAAAAGCTGCTGCTGTGCATGAGGTGTGCTGCAACAGGGCCCCTGCTGCGGTGCAGGAATGGGGCTTGTGGGAAGATTTTAGTTACTCACCATGGCAACATACATTAATAGCTATAATCCCCCATCATGTACTGGATCGGTCCTTCTCCCACATCCACACATACCTCCAGGAAGGACATTCATGATGTAGATATACTCTTGGGCACCCAATGCTAAGCTGCCAAGCCTCAATGTGAGGTCTCATGCAAAACAAGCCTGTCCCATCCATGTTATCTGGCCAAGGTGAACAGCCTCAGCTCAAGTTTCCCACATCTCTGGTAGCAACATTTCATATCTGTGTACTGAGGCCATCTTGGTTTCTATTGCATGAAGTTACAGAGGGCTGCAGAGCCAGAGGGACTCTGGAAACAACTGGAGCTACAGGAGATGCACTGCAAGATGATCCAAGGTCCTCCTCACCCTTACTGAGATGGACTTTTCCATCTTTTCCCTTGGAGCAGTGCCTGCACTCCATCTCCCATCCTGAACTGTCAGTCAACATTGGAAGACTCCCATGAGAACACAACAGCAACAAGCCTGGGGGACAAGGCTGCTTGTGGAGCTCAGCATCTCCCACAGACCTCATGGGGGTGAAGAACAACCACTTGTTTTGTTATTCACTCCCGTGTGCTGAGACCTTCGACTTGCTGCTTCCCCCGTGTGGGACCAAACCCCTTCCTCTGCAGGAGCACGGGCACAGGGTGACATTCATTATATCAGAGGCAGAGGTCTGACAAACAGCCTTGGGAAGATAACGTGGCACTTCACATGCAGCATCCTGTGCCTCACTCTGCAGGCTCCTGGGAAAGCACACGGCTCACAGCATCGCATGAGCAAGGCTTCAAGCCTTGGGAAGCACTGAGGAGGGGAGCAGCCCCCATTGCCACACTCACCCTGCTCATGCCAAGGAGTGGGTCATGCTCACCCCAGACTCAGAATTTATTCATAGTGAGAAATCCACTGACTCCACCAAAGCAAAAGAGCCTCTGGCCAGGTAAGGATGTGGCTCTTCCTGCCTTCGCAGAACACTTTGTGCAAGTCTAGTGCTTTACGTGAAGTTTTAAATCAATCTCCCACAGAACAACCCTGCAACATGGGCTAACAAACTTATTTTATGACAGAGAAAATAGAAATGCAGAGACTCAAGTAAACTATTTAACAACATATGTTCAGAGACATGATGTGTGCTGCAGATCCAGAGCTTGACGACTGGGACAAAGCAAACTCACCCAGCTCAGATTAGTAACAGGAAATTGATATAACCCCCCTCTGGCAGTTTCAACCAGACCATGAGCTCATCTTGCAGGACCTTTTGAAACCTGGATGTTAGAACCACCCCAAGTCCTCCCAGCGATGTCCAGGTGATGACAGCATAAATTACTTCCTTCTAAACGGGAAAGTTCTCTTCAGCACTGCAGGTGGGAGCTGAGTGCTTTTGCAAAGATTGCCTAGATGTTGGGTATTGTCCATAAGGACCGTTCAGAAAGAAGACGTAGGCAGGAATGATGCTAACATGGAGAGAAGGGTTCCTGCCATGAGATAAAGGCTTTGCCCAGCAGACACCCTTCAAAGCTTTCCCTTTCCCAATGTAATGTTCCTTTTCCACGACCCTTTAGTGTTCAAGGCTTGGAGCAACCTGCTCTAGTGGAAGGTATCCCTGCCCTTCCAGGAGGGTTGCAACTGGATGAGCTTTAAGGCCCCTTACAACACAAACCAGTCTATAATGTGCAAGACTCAGGTTTCAAAGGCACCAATCTCCTGCTGTTGGCATGCTCATGTGCCCAGCTCAGCCCGCCCTCCCCTGCACTGCATGTCCTGGGGAGCTTGGGTCAAGTGGAGGTGGCCAAACCCCATATAAACCAAGTATGAGCAGTCCTGAACTGCTGCCAGGCCATAGAAAAGACAGGCATTAGGCTGAGCTGGCTCTTGTGCAGGCAGGAGGGGAGGGGAAAACCAGAAAGAAAGAAAAAAAAGAACAATGTTACACTGTCTATAACTTGCTTTCTTCTTTTTTCTTTAATTAAAAGTTTAAATAGAGCCCTGAAACTTGATAATGGACACTTCAGCAGAGGGCAGCCACACGGAACCAAACCTTAAAACCCATGAAAGACCTGATTTATGAGTGAGGAGGGCAATAAAACATCAGTGGAAAGACACAGCAGTATCTGTTAGGAGTGAACTTCCATCTCGCCTTTGACTCTGTTTTATACTGGTGGTTTCTGCTGGTTTCCATCAGGAGTTACTGGCAGAACTGGAACAAAACCCCAGGACTTCACCTGTGGGAAGTGGGTGGCACTGCTGAGCATCAGCCCCTGCAGACAGAGCAGCTTGGTTGCAGGCCAAGGACTTTTTACCCCCTTCCAAAGACATTTGAGCCAAATTCCAGCAGGTACCGAGCCTGGGATTGCATGGGTAAGGATAAGAACCAGCAGGGATATTTAATGGGGGAAAAAACCCTTTGGCAACCAAGTTTTGCTGCTTTTAGGCTGGATCACACCAGGCTGGGGTTTGCCAGGTTGAGTTTCAGCCCACTGTGAATTAGAATACGCAGGTTATAAACCTCCGGAAGCTCATGAGGGAGATGCTCAGTAACTCCAGCTGAGCAAAGGGGTTGCTCTGATTCTCAAAGCAACTTCTTTACAGCTCAGCACATCGCTGGAGGGGTGGGCAGGGGGGTGTGTGCGAGCACAAACAAGATGCAATCTTCATTATGTTGGTCTGACTCACTTTATGAATGTTACAATTGTACCTGGCAATGGGAATAAACCCCCCAGAGAAGAGTTACAGGTATTTTGCCAGAGCTGTAAACCAAGCCGGAGAAAGAGCCAGCTCCTATTTCTGATCTCAGATACCCAACAGAGCTGCCTCAGGTCCACAGGCTACAAAATGCAGCAGCTCTGTTAGATCTCAAGGTAGCAACAAGCTGAGCTCTTCTGTCATTTCAGGGGACAGTAACATACTCAGATGTCATTTAAAGCCAAAGAAACTCAAGCTCTGGGCATGGCAAGCAGCAACAAGGCACCTGCTTCAGCAGATAGTTTTTCTCCCTGTTTCTCTCGCAGAAGCAGCAATGCAGTAGCAGAGTAAGTGCAGAAAAAGTAAGAGCAGTCTCTCTTTAAGGCAGCTGCCTGGTTCAATGTAGGTTGATTTAATGATAAGACACTGTTTGAAGTTAATTGTAACTGCAGGGAACAACAAGAGAGCCGGTATCTCACTGTCGGTCGAGACAGGGAGCTGAAAGAGACTCCGGGTCAAACTGTGATACGGCTCCAGGGCATACATATCGTGACACAAGTCCTGGGAAGTCTGCAGAGTTAGAGTTAAAATCGGTCTGCATAACCTTAAATACAGGGCAGAGCACAGCTTGAGGAATCTGCCCATTTAAAGCCTCAAAAAGTGGACACGCTGAACCAGTGATGATGCTGAACAGCTCAGCACAGTCTGGTCCTGAATCACTTCCCCGCAGTTCTGTCCCTGCAGAGGGGGACAGAAAGGTGGTTGGGAGGTTTGGTTGTATTTGTGTTTTTGACAGTTAATTTTAACAGCCAAAAGAAATGTCTATGGAATGATATTGTCTCCTGGCTCTTTCTTCATTTGCCACTTCGCTGAGTAATGAGAACTGAAAAGTTTCATGGGTACAGGCAAGAAAGGTTTCCAGCTTTAGAAATACCCCATGTCAGGGAGTGAGAGCTGGAGACCCCGAAGAAGATGCCCAAGGTTAACTTTCATTTTTCACTGAAATACAGAAAAAAGCCAGACTGTCATTGCTGGCACTCAGCCTCATAGGGGGGCTGCAGGGAGCCAGAGCACTGCTCAAAAGTGGGGCTCCTTCCCTGGTTTCCTAATAGCAGTAATGTTTAACAGCTGTTTTCTTTTCCTCATGCCACTATGAATCCCCTAAACAAGACTGTCTGAAACCAAGGGACTCAGCAGCCCCAGCCAGTGCAGCTCACCACAGGATGCTCTGAATTATAACAATATTCCAGGTAATAAATCAGTGTTTTCTCTACTGAGAAGTGGAAGGTATGAGGAGGGGAAAAAGAAAACGAAGAGAAGCTTATCTAAATCTATTTACATGGAATGATTATTCAATTAATTTTTTTCATTACACTTGCCAAAAAGAATTGCCCATGTCTTTAATGCTGTGTGTGAGGTTTCATTAATAATGAATAGCACCAGCGTTCTCCTGTTTAGCAAGCAGGAGCTCTTGTCTTTGGAAGTCACAGCCCTGCTCAGCTGAAGGCGTGGGGACTCTGCAGCCATTGAGGTGTGCACGGGGACAAACTCTCATGGCCTGAGCTACTGTCAATGGGGTTTCATCGGTTTCCCCTTCAGTGGGGTGGTATTTGCCACTCCAAATGCCATGTGAGGTGAACAGGTGCACGGCTGCAAGAGTGAGCAAGTCCTTGTCCCCATCAGCCCCATTTCCCTGCCTGCTGCTGGTCCCTCTGCTCCTCATGCCCAGCTTGGAGACCCCAGTCATGTCCCCCCCAGCTTCTTTGCCCCCTGGCCCCCCCTTGCTCCTTTCTGCCAAACCTGCCCATTCCCACAGCACCGCTCGGTCCCGGTGCCGCCAGCTCCACCACCCAGCTCCCTGCATCCCTGCTCAGGATCCTGACCCAACTGCAGCAACTGGGTGAACTCTCCTTATATCTCTGTCTGGAAGAAATGAGCCATTGTAAGCTAAACTGTAACGTCATGTCACAACTGCCCCAGGGTTTAGTGGGACACACCAGAGGAGACTGGTTTGGGTGAGGTGGAGATGCCTTCCCAACCTCTAGCAACAGCACCATGGGCTTACCAAACTATAACCTACTGTTACAGCACTTAGCGAACACAACCAAGAGCTGTGGTGAAACACAGTGCAAACCCTCCCCAGCCTCAAGATGGACACAACCCCCAGATGCTGCATACACAGAAGGACCATCCTCTGCTGGAGGAGCAGAGGGGCTCAGAGATGCTCACACAGCACCCAGCTCCTTAAGTGTGACCTTAAAGTTGCACCTTGGCTGTGGGACAACCAAGTTAGCTCCAGCCATGGAGTGACAAAAGCAGGGCAAACAGTGCAAACAGCAGCTATAAATCAGTATCTCCTTCCCAAACGTAACATTGGGTTCACACTGGGTTCTTATAAATATTTAAGTCAAATTTCATCTGTTTGTGTCTTACATCTGTCTTTATCAGTAATCTCTGCTCACATACCATGCTGCTGCTTGCTAATCTAAGCTAGCTCTCTCAGTGCAAATGTGTCTTCTCACCTTGGTTTCGACAATCATCATCTGAATTCTTCTGTCTGGAGATACTCTCCAAAAGGGCCTCTGTCTGAGTGGCTTTTCATGGAGCAGGTAAAAGGGAGAAAGACCTCTCTGAGATTTAATGATAACCAAATCAATTAAAATGTACACTCTTGGAACAAGGATCATAACATGGGCTGCACATTTTATTGCTTCTCCTTTTCTTTTTGTGCCACACAAGCCATGTGTTGTAATGATCTGGTTTCTTCTAAGAGGTGCATGCTGCTCTGTTTGACATGGGGGAAAAGGTGGAAGGGCAAAGCTTATCCACAAGGAGTCGGATGTGGATTACAGCCAGAGACTGCCAATTCCCCAACTTTCTAGTACTTTTCAGTAGAAAGGAAAACAAAGGCGAAATTGTATTTGAGAACCTTCTGAAGAAAAATAAATCCCTGCTTCCCAAGCAGCCATAGGGCTGGTGAAAACCACAAGAATTTGGCAATTCCCAATATCCTGTTTCACACCGGGGAGATGAAGGGCAGTATCGTGCAGAAGGGGAGCACCCACGGAACCAATGTTTCATGGAGTCCCATCCCTCCCTCTCCTCTTAGTGGCCCTGTAATAAAAATCCTCTGGGATGGTTGAGAAAGGTCTCAGCATCCCCTTCAGATCAAGAGAGCTACCTTGCTGCTGAGGCTCAGTAGAGGAAAAAGAAGCCTCATTCACTGCTATTCCCCTCCTGCTAAGACTCTTCTCATTGCCTGTGATCTCCCAGAGCCCTGGGAGGAAGAAGGGAGCAATAATGCCAGAGCTTTATTTCCCTGTGAGCCTGGAAATCCACCAGAGTTCAACTTCCAGCTGCTCTTCAGGAGCACTGCTCACACCAGAGCACCCCACGAGGCCTGGCTACCACCCATCACAGCCAGGCCACTGAGACCATTGGAAAGGTAACAGATGACAGCAAGCTCAGCCTGGGAACTGCAGCTCTGCTCCCAGTGGTTCATGCTCACCTCGGAGCACGAAACACAGCAGACACCTCCAAATTCTCCTCCAGACACACCTCTCTCTGCATCAGCACTATTTGCTTCACCACACTACCATGATCCCTCTTAACACTTCCATGAGCTGCTGCAGGCTGGGAGCCCATGGAGGAGCCAGGACTTACAGTCCCTCCTCCATGCTGAGGAGAAGCAGCACAACCTCACCAGCACCATGAAGCTGGTGGAGAACAGCACTAGCTCCACCATGTCCCACGAGCTGCCGAGCACAGGTATGGACACACTGTGCTGGCAGCAAGGGCTGGAGCTCCATCCTGATCTGTGACCACAGAACTGGTGCCACCACAACTCAGCATCACAAGTGGTCCTGGCACTTCCAGCACTCTCTGAGGCTGGAATTTAGGGAATCTGGGTTTGGCTCCACATTTCTTTTGCACCTGTGGGCAGGCAACTGAAGCTCGCTGCGCTTTAGTTTGCCTTCTACAAGCTGGAGTAAGGTTACAGCCTCTTTTCTCACTACTATTTTGACTTGTCTACTTACATTACAATCTTCTGGGAGAGGAGGCTGCATGTGCGTTATCTACCAAATCTAATATAAGTGAGCTAATCCTGGCAGATTTCTACAGGCATTACTGTCATACAAATTCTGAGGGCTGTGTCTATATAGACAGCTTAACCCACTCTCAGGCGCCAGCAAGTGTCTTATCTCAGCGCTGTGCCCATGCACCAAGGTCTTAGGCTTGCTTTAAATTTGCATTTCGGAACCTAAGCTCCCATTCTCTGGGATTACTGAGCCTGGAGATTTGATCCTGGCAGCCCACACCACTCCTGTGGGCATAATACATTGCCAGCATTCTGCAGCAAGCCCTTCTCATGCCATTCTGCACACGTGAGAAAAGTCAGCCTCAGCAAATTAGTTTGTATCAACAAATTAGGTCAATTTCCCACCTATTTTATTCATTCTAGTAACTGAGCCAAAGAGGATTATCTCTCCTGGGCTTTGCCAGTTCTCTTTCAGTCTTTGGGACATGATTTCCTCAGTTTCCTACTTAATTAAGAGCAGGATTTAAACACTTAAAGTTATCAACTTCCATAACCTCCCCTCCAAGGATGATACTACCACACCCGCAGCATCTACCACCCGTAGCACCCACGCGTCTGACCCAGGGTGAGCAGGGACACATGGTCCTGGCAGCTGAGGTGCTCCTCTAGTACTTTTAAGTAGTTAATTCCCCCTCCGTTTCTCAGCAGAGGTAGCATCGGCTGTCAGGACACACTGTGACTCTGCTGAGGGCTCTGTGGTCCATCCTGTCGGGTCTAACCTGGAGCATCTTGCCCAGGGTAAACACCACAAGGCCCCAGAACACAAGAGCTGCTGCTACCAGGTGTCTGTCCAAGGCTGAACACTTGCTGGCAGGAAGGATGGGTGCTCAAGGGCTTCACAACAGCATCACTGTTCAGAGCAGAAAATCATCATGATACACAGCTGGGGAGAAGCAAGAAGTTGCTCTCACTTCCCTGTCCATTACAAAGCCTGGTTGTCCATCCCTTTCTCTCCACCCTGCTCTGTCCTTTGGGAGGGAACAGCCTATTCTTTGCTTTTAACCGCGAGGAAAAAGCAAGCGAGCAAAGGAGAAGCAGCAGCCCATGCAGTAACCAGGTCCTCCATTGCCTCCTGCATGGCTCCAGTGCAATGCCATGTTTGTTCAAAGGTAAAGCAGAACCACTGGGGAATATGGACACGGCTTTGATTTTATTTTAAAGGCTTTAATATTTGGAGCTGTATTGATTTATCTGAGCATGCCAGCGTGCCGCCGGTAACTAAGCAACACCGATCCTCTCTGTATTCTGGGAGGCTCCCGGGATTTTGCCTATGAACAATATTACTTTGTGTATATGAAACTAAATGGACCATAGGCACCATTTGTAAGTGGAGGGTATTTGAGTTTCATCTTTCGATTTCTTCTTGCTGGTGGATGGCCATATTCCCTGGCACAGCCCTGTACCCAGAGCCCAGGCTGCAGTGGCAGGACACAGACACACATCCCTCCAGGAGATGCCAACGAGAACAACTTAACCCAAAGTCATGCAGATGCCCCAAGCAATAGGAAGCAAAGCAGCTGCTGTGCCCTCCCTGTTGGCTTAGGTGATAAAAATCTAAACCCCAAACCAACAAACCCTAAAGCAGGGTCAACTTCTGTGCGAATCAGAGTGACACAGAGGAAACCTCAGCAGGCAGAAAGAATAGAATATAAGGTTTCAGTTGAAGGGGACCTTTAGTGATCATCTCATCCAACTGCCTGACCACAAGTTAAAAGCATGCTGTTAAGGGCATTGTCCAAATGCCTTTTAAACAGTCAGGCTTGGGTCATTGACCATCTCTTGAGGAAGCCTCTTCTAGGGTTTGACCCTCCTCTAGGTAAAGAAATGTTTCTAAAGTCCAGTTTAAACCTCCCCTGGTGCAGCTTTGAGTCATTCCCATGTGCCCTATGAGCAGATCCCAGGGAGCAGAGCTCAGCACCTCCCTTCCCACATCCCCTCTTCAGGAAGCTGCAGAGCACTGACATCACCCCTCAGCATCCTTTTCTCCAAACTACAGCCAACTCACTGCGCTGAACAACCCACTGCAGCTTTGTGAGGGCTTCCTACCCCTTAGCCCTCTGTCATGCACCACAGGGACCTCTGCCCCTGCCCCATCTGGTGCCATCTTCCCTTCCCACCCCAGAGCTGCCAGCAGCCCTGGCTGTTTCTTTAAGAGGACAGTGCCTGTGTGGTCAAAGTCAGCAGGCAAAAGAGGCACTGTCAGCTCGCACTATATGGTTCAGTGGTTTGGCGTTAAGGATGTTTGTTTTGGAGCCCGCCCGCTGGTCTGACCCATTTAGGATCCTCACTGCACTACAAGCTCGCCTTTCAATTATAAGAGGAGGCAGAAGGGGTCTTTAAAATGAAATCAGAGCCCACCAGGTCTGAGGCTGCCAAGTGAGATCGCGGTAAGTCAGGCTGCCATTGTGCAGCCCTGCTTGGAGCTGGCCTGGGGAGGCAGTGATTTCACAAAAGGGAAGGAAGAAAGGAACTGGCTGTGCAGATGGATGGCTTCTCTGGCTTGGAACAGCACTCGACTCACTACCACAGAGCCAGGGCTGCTCTGCAGCACAGGGAAACCACCTTGGTCTTCAAAAGGCTTTTTCTGAAGAAGAGAAGAATTTGGGCTTGGAGGGACACAGCAGCCTTTTGACCCTCAATCTGTAGCAGGAGGAAAGGAAAGCCCAATGCTGCTGGGGGATCCCCACCAGCTCCTACAGTACTCACATGAACCCACTCCAGGTCAGCCCTGCTCCAGGAACGGGAGACCTGCAGCTGCTGAGGCAAGAGCATCTTACCCTACAGCAAGCTTTAGCTGGATGCTCTGGTTGCCCTGATCTTGCTTCAGGCCTCTGCTGCCGGAAGACATCACTCCAAACATCACCAGACTTCTGCTACATCCACCTTTACCAAGAAGGTGACATCAGCTGCAGAGCCACTGCACTGCAACTGCCACTCTGCAGCCTTGTCTCACCATAACCATTTCATTATCACTATTAACCAGACATTTCCATGGGGAGAAGGGGACCAGGTGGGCATCACTGTTCATTCTTTCATAGATAAAATGATTGTTGCTCTTTATCTTTTTGTGGCCCACTGTGCATCTGCACAAGACAAGTCACACAACGGCACCTCCTCCCAGACAGTCTCCTGTATGACGCTTTGCACTGACAAATACTTTCAATTAAGAAGCACAATTATATGCTTGCTGAACGGACAAATAGTGCCAACGAAGTGTGGAGGGATCCTGTGGTTCTGGCACACACAAATCGGCCATTACTTTAACGTAGCTGAAACAAGAACCGTGTGGATTAGGGGACTGGGTGTTTCACGTGAAATCCAAACTAAGCAAAACGCACATCAGCTTTGCCAAAGAGCTTCCCTGAGGTTCACAGGTTTCTCAGCAAGTCTGGACTGAGTTAGAGAAAGTCAAACTGATGGGGAAACAGCCTCAGAGCAGGACCTGGAACAGGAGCTTTCTCCAACTTTGAATCCAAACCCCCCGTCATGGCCTCCTCAGCCCCATAGCAGCTGAAAACGGTGCCTTTCTCTCCATCAGGCAAGAACTAGGCTTCTGCAAACACCCTTGACAGCATTAACTTGGATACAGAACTCATGATGAGAACACCTTCATAGAGGTGTTTTTGGTGGGCTCCTGGCAGGACTCTACTACCCCATCCCACAGGGCTGAGGGCAGTCAAGATGCTTTTCAATTCCCACTGCCACAGGGCCAATGCGTGAGCCCTCTGCCTTTCACAGCCTCCCAGAAATACCAGCAGGCAGCTGGGGATGATCTGGTCACTTCAACCAGGAACACGCAGCCTCAGGGGACCCTGACACAACATCACAAAAGCAAACAGGTAACTCCAAAACCGCCCCATCCCTTGTGCTTCTCCACCTTGGTTTAAAGCCCCCAAAAGAATCCATGCCAAAATGCAATTAAAAAGTTACAAAGAAAAGATGAAGTACTTTAGGAACAGCATTGTCTCCATTTCACCAAGCCTCACTGATGCTCAGAGTGCTCCAGAATTAAACAGATGCTTAAGTTCAAATTCTCAAAAAGCCTCACACCAGAATATTACTTTCATTCTTCATTTCCCACAAAAATATATGTTAATGGTTGCTTACACACTGCCTGGCAGTGTGACAGAGGCGATGCCCTCATCGAGATGCTGAGATGCAGGGACAGATAAAGCCAGTCTGATGCATCAGAAACTGCAGGTTCCCCACCACAGCACTGGACAGCAGCCGCACAAACTCATCCACTCCACTGGGCCACCGCACCTTAGGGGTAAAATCCCATCCCAGTCTCTATTGCAGCTAATTGTTTGGCCTCTCCTGCGGCTGCAGACACACAGCTAATGGAAGGCAGAAACAGGTTTAGGTGAGGCAGCTGCCTACCTGCTGCTGCTACCAAAATGAGCCTCACAGAAGCAACACAAGTGATTAACTGACAATACTTTTCATCAGCATGAGTTGGATTTGCACCAGCCGTCTAGTAGGAAAAGCCTCCAACTCCCAGTGAGACTCGATATTAAAAGACATCAGGAAGGAGACGAGGCTCAGAGAAGAATGACCCTGGATTAGGGAAAAGAGAGCTCAAACCTATCAAGCATTTCAAAGTGAAACAAAATCTTCAGATGTCGTTTAGCTGCTTTTATCTGCAAATTGAGTTCTATCTGCTGGGGGAGAAAAACAAACCCTACAGAAATGCTTAGCATGGTGGAAAAAATGTTAAATTAAGCTTACAAAAGTGTTTCTCTTTCTGAAATCTTGGCTGGCGACAAATGGCTTGTGCCAAGTTATAAATCAAGCGTTGGGTTTCTTTTAACGCTCAGCATCCCCTGATTTATGATGCCATCACAACCTCTCGATTGATTTCTGACTTGGCGATCCATCTTCCTCCATAGGTAGCTGCCCATTATAACGCCTTTTCCTGAGCAGGCAGCACATTCTGCTTCCCAGAAGGGCCTTATCAAAGGTGAGGCTTCAGCAAAAACTCACTGCCAGGCAGAGCATGGACCCCAGAGGCCAAGGTGGCCGTAGCAAGGGGAGATGGATGGTGTCTGTATAAAGGAGCAACACTATTCACCTGAGAGTGCTACTGAGGGGTCCTGGTTTGCTGGCCTTTGGCAGCAGAGGTATGCTCCTGGAGACCCCAGGGAGGACCTTCCTTCCTTGTTTTGCATGACCAGAGCCTCCACAGATTTAGTTCCCAACAGCAACCATCCCACACAGGTGGAAACAAATTAAACCTTGCATGCCAGATGAATACTCAAGCTCATTGAAACCTCTCACCTTTTCCTCTAGATGCAGCCAGCCCCTCAGCCTGTTCCATCAGGTCAGTGATCCAAGGACATCAGGGCTTACCTGGAACTCAAGAGGACCAACGCTGTGACAAACTCCTGTGCAATGCAACAGCCATTGCACATATCCCCATCAGGTACCAGCTGTACCTTGCTGGGCTGCAGAGGCCACCAGCCTCACCTGTTCACAGACACCTACTGCTTTGGATATCTCAGCCCCTAGAACACTCCCTAATTTACTTTTGTCAAAACAAACCAGGTTACCAAAGTGCAGCTACTTATATTGAGCTCCTTTTAACCAAATTAGGTGAGGGTGGGTTTGCGTGGGCAGCTGGGAGCACTCACCTCCAAATCCAGCACAGCTGAAGGCTCTTAAGGAGACCCAAGCACCTTGGAAATGAGAGACAAGGGGAATGTTGAGGGGAGAGGTAACAAGCATTGACCTCTCAAAGCCCTTTGAGGTTTCCAAACTGCAGGGACCATGGGTTAGATCTGTGTCCCAGGCAATGCATCAGCCTTAGTGGGGAGCGCAGGGATAGCAAATAGGGGCTGGAAATCCCTGGAATGCTGCAGTTCACAGCCATGCCTGTACCAGCCAGGTGATGTATCTTTATCTAAAGCATGGTCTCCTGTATAAACATTTCCTTGTGGAGTCCAGAAGCCGGCTGTCCACTTAGATGGTGCCTTTTTAACTTCCAAGATAAATAGGGCTTTTTTGTGTCACTATAAAGCATTATTTATAGTGGAAAGGGCCTGTGAATGGCGCATGCTGTCAGTTCCGTATGTAAATGATGCCAGCTCCGTTGCTACATCACATCAATTATTTTCATACACTTTGCTTTGCCTTCATCTGTCAAGAGGAAAAGTCACCTTGATGCCTTGGTTTTCTCCTCCCATTTCCTTTGGTGTGTGACTCTACTTTGAGGCTTGGCAGGGAGAAGAACGTGGGACTTTCAGAAGCAATTATGTGAGCTGGGAGAACAAGCCCTGCTGGCCTTTGGAGCTCCAGCAACAAGCAAGACAGAACAGCTGCCTCTCGATTAAAAACTGTGTGCTGCAGGGCTTCTTCACAGGAGCTTCAGTGATGGGATGGCCTCAAAAGCCAACCCTGATCTCGTGGAAGGGATAGAATGGCAAAGCTCCCAAGAGCAGGGTAAACAGGATGAGGCCCTCAGCATCACCCGTGCATGTTTTTCTCAAGCAGCTTTTGCTTATCCCATTCTTGGAAGAGAGCTGCTGACTTCCACCCTCTGGAGTCTTCTTTTTTTCTGCAAGCTCAATTCTTTCTCTACTTTCATTACTAGTCTTTGGGTCAGACTACTCAGTTCCCACCCTTATTTTGTGTGTCTGTCTCCTATTCCCACTCAGCACCACTGGATCATCCCCAGTTAAACCAGCTTCCTTGGACTGGTATAAGCAATTGCACATCTGGCCCAGTTACCCGTGCCACGTTACAGGAGTTCAACAAAAGACTTGCAAACTGTTTGGAAGCAGAGACATCTCCTGTTACTTCATCCTGTTCTTATGAGCAGGGGATGTTTCCTTGGGTGACCCCTTCCCTTGGTCTGCAGGTAGGCAGGCAGCAACACTTGAGCTCAACATGCTCAATCTCTCTCTTGTGATGGAGAGAGAGGGAAAAAATAAAGCAAACCCATAAATCACAAAGCTAGCAAATGAAAATAAATACACTTAACAATATTTCCATGCTGCTTTTTATTATTATTATTTATAATGGTATTACAGAATTTTGTAAAATTAAAGTAAATGTCAAGCAGAATGTAATAATTTTCCTTGGGGTTTGGCACATTTGTGTGCCTGACAGTTTCACATTTTTCTTTATATCCGTGAAGACAGGAGCCTGACAGGGCTATATTTTGTTACCCACTTCGTTCAATTTTGTCATAAATTGGAGCGAACAAAACCGGGAAAATACAGACACCGAATTAATCAAATAAATTACATTTTAAAGCACCTCATACAAACATGTATGAAATAATCATACTGTGCCAGGAAAGCACATGAAGAAAAAGCAGCATTTTCCCCTGCCAAATGCATAAGGGCAGAGCCCTCACCCCAGAGCCATTAGTGTTACCCACCAAGATGTTGCTCCTTGGCTGCTCTTGCCTTGCAGAGCCCTCAAAGCCCTCTCCCAAGCCTTTCTCTTCCTGCACCTGAAGCCGATACACATTCCAGCTATTCACATTCCACAGCAATGAGCTTCATCTTTTTACATGAGGGCAGGTGCTTGACATGCAGCAGCTAATTTGGGGTGCCAGTGCACACAGCCATGTTCTGACCTTTGACAGGTTGTGTTTAAACTCACACCTCCATCTTCCCAGTTCTGCTGCTGCTGGTACCACCAGCAAACACCCTTCACCCACTGTGTCTAATACCATGCTGTGACTGCTGGGGCACTCAGGACCCTCCTTTAAAAGCTTGGTGGCTGTTCCTGCTGTTTAAAGGGAGGGAGATGTTTGCAGTGGCACAGGAAGCACCATGCATAAAGAACTGCAATTTCCATGAGAATGATGACAGGAGAAATGGGAAGCAGTGGTAGGGCTGTCCTCAGGCCAATCCTTTCTGCCTGAGTAAATTCGATTTGAATGCCTCTTGAAAGACGGGCTCTGCAGCACTTGGGCTATATTGAAAAGGTCACTGGAGGCAATGTCAGACATACTCTCCAGCTGCACTACAAGTGCACTGATAGAGATTCATAACAACGTATTACTGCAGCTGGAGATCCAAAGTGACTCTCTAAGGAATCCTCTCCACTTCTCTGGCAGAAGCAGACTATTTCATTACTCCCCTTTAATGCCTAAGTGAAGGTGCTAGTGCCTGACCCCTAAACACTGACTTCAAAGCACACCTTGGAGCTTGTTAAGAGTTGGTGAGGATAGTCAGTGGGGGGATTTGTAAATCAGAAGTGCATTTCAGCCATCTGAAAGGGCTATGTTGGTATCTCACCTTCTTTCAAACTGTCTGGGCTTCAGAGGACTGGAGAGAAACAAGACCAAGAACACTGGAAAGCCACAGTGGCTGAATCAGAAGTTCCCTCGGATTGTGTGCAACACCAACAGCACCTCTGGCATGGGCGGTAGTCCTGTTATCTCCTGCTAGAATTAGGCTTAAAACCTGAAAGATAAAATGTTTCCATTAGTCTCAAATTTAGTATTTTGCCCTGTACCCTGTGCTATGAAAAACACAATTTTACCCTTTATCCAGCTAACTGGAGTTGGTCTTGTTCATCCTAGAAAAGAGAAGACTCCAGGGAGACATTAGAGCAGCTCCAGTGCCTAAAGGGGCTAGAAGAAACCTGGAGAGGAGCTTTGGACAAGGGCCTGCAGGGACAGGCCAAGGGGAATGGCTTTAACCTGACAGAGGAGAGACTGAGATGAGCTCCTGGGCAGAAGCACTTCCCCGTGAGGGTGCTGAGGCGCTGGCACAGGGTGCCCAGAGAAGCTGTGGCTGCCCCATCCCTGGCAGTGCTCAAAGCCAGGCTGGATGGGGCTTGGAGCAACCTGCTCCAGTGGAAGGTGTCCCTGCCTGTGGCAGGGGTTGGAACTGGATGAGCTTTAAGGCCCCTTCCAACCCAAATCATTCTATGATACTAATAACCATCCTTGGCTGCTGACCCAGCAGCACTGGACACAGGCAGTGGTTGCATTGCAATGCTTTGCACAAGCTCATCCATCCCAAGGAGCTGGAGAGTGGCAGCGTTGTACAGAGCAAGATGCAATGGGAGGGCTGAACAGCAGAGACCTGGAAAGCTGCCACATTCCAAGTGTGGATGCAGTTCAGTGGTGGGTTACGGGGTTCCTTTTCTATGTGCACCCATCAATATATGGCAAAAATGCATTTTAAGCTTGTTTGTATATTTGTTGCTAGATGCCATAATGGTCTTCAGCTGTATAGCGGGAGGGCTCATTCACTAAATGTTACCAGTGATTTGATTTTGTTTTTTTCTTGCTCTCCTTACTGTATAAACCTATTTCCTCCCATTTTGCTCTGTGCCTGCAGAATGCCCAACGTCTCCTATCACACCTGTGTTCCATTTTGTCATCCATTATTTTAATCCCTCACCTATTGTGCGCAATCTGAGAATGGTCCAATAAATCCCATTCTCTACTTTAAAATAAAGGCCAATAGAAGGCTTTAATAAGTGAAATTTGTATTTTTCCACATCGTGAGCAATGAAAGCATCCGGTGAATAACCCCTGATTGTCAGGTGCTCACATTCCCGTCGTCTAAGCAGGGGGACAATTAGCAGACAAACAAAGGTTTCCAACGCTGCAAATATCTCAGAAAGACCATTTGGCTGCTTGATGGGGAGAAGGATATTTTTAAAGCTGCCATTTGAGACTCAGCTGTATTGCTAATTAAATGAGAATTTCATAAAAATAATCGGGAAAAAGAAGTCTCTCTTAATTGGAGAATGATAACGAACAGACTTGCTAAACAGAGGCATAAACGTCAAACAATTGAAGAGGGATAATAAAGTGCCATGTTATCATGTAATGCCAGACAGCTTCCCTACTTCTATTTGAAGTTTCAACTTTTAGACATTTTCTTTTTGGTGAATGGCATCCAAAAATGTGCTTTGCAATCATAATTTCCAGAGCTTCCATTCGGCGTTAGCAGCTCATGGGTAACAGCCATTGCTGCATTAACAGCATCTGCACCTAAAGACTCGGTGTGTTCTGTTAACAGCCTTTGTGTTCTGCAGTGAATATGGGGGGAAATGCATTAATATTGTACGGATGTTATTCATGCAGGATAGTGGCGTTATTGAATTAGTGATTCTTTGTAATAATAATGACTTCCAGTGCTGTATTGTACACTCGAATCCATGGAGTCAGGAAGGAACTCGCAGGCTTAATGGAAGACTCAAACACAGTTTTGTTGGTGCTGCTCAGCATTTGGTTCTCACATGCAATCGTGCAGGCAGCAGCCAGCACCTCCCTTCCCCTCAGGTTACCATATTAAGAGTGAGTATATATTTACAGGAGTAGATTCTACCTAGCATGGCCAACTGGTTGAAGGAGGTGACTCTGCTCCTCTACTCTGCTCTCATGAGACCCCACTTGCAGTACTGCACACAGTTCTGGTGTCCTCAACAAAAGAAGGACATGGAGCTGTTGGTGCAAGTCCGG